GGGGAGGCTATCGCTGTTATTGTCCGCAAGGATTTCAATTGGACAGGGTGAGGATGCTTTGCAGAGGTATGTTAAAGTGTCTTCCAAGTTTGTTCAACGTACGGGATTGATAACATACACATGGGCGTACCGGAAGGAAAAATTTAGGGGGGCGGCAAGAAATTTGCCCGACTTTTCCGGATTTTGCCCGACAAGTACCGAAATTTGTCCCACTTATTTTTTTACTTAAACAAAATTGCCCGACTGTTCAGCGAATATTGCCCGCCCCCCCCTCCGCCCCCCCGCCCGGTACGCCCATGAACATACATATTATGAATATTTATTCATACCTTATACAGTCAAAATACAAGAACCTTCCCACTTTCGCTTCTGTAACTTGTTTTGTATTTCTGTAATTTGTTCTATTTTTCTGTAGCAATTACCGCTTTATCGGCAAATATCGCGGTAGAATTTCCCTTTCTTTCCTTTATATACGTCTGTATGTATCGCGGTAGAATTCCCCTTTCTTTCCTTTATATTTGTAGCAAAGGATACACCTTTCGCTATAGATTCCTTGCATAAAAGTTTCGCAATTTTGATTTCAGTACGTCAAATGATTGTAGTCGAGATCTAAGTTTCGCAATTTTTATGCGAAGAATGTTACGAAAGGTGTATCCATTGCTACAAATTGATGTATATAAAGGAAGGAAAGCGATATTCTACCAGATCCTAACGCGATATGTGCCGATAAAGCGGTAATCGCTACAGAAAAATAGAACAAATTACAGAAATACAAAACATATTGCGGAAGTGGGAAGGTTCTTGTATTTTGACTGTAACATGGCAGTACCCTAATTAATAATCTCATAATATACATACATGAAAAAATTTCTCAATTCTGATTGGCTAAGATTTAACAGTGCATATGATGTATTAACATTGGCTAAGATTTAACAGCGTATATGCATGTATTTTCTTTCAAGAATTTACAGCTGATAATATTTGCTGCTGAGATATTTAATTTCTTTGTATTTAGATACGAACGAGTGTTCTCGAAATCCATGCTCAACGACAGGCTGTTACAACATTCGTGGCGGCTTCCAGTGTTCTTGTCCAACTGGGTTTTACCCCATTGGTGGGGGGTGAGTATTTTCATTAAAAGACATTGACAGTAAAAGTTTACTTTGCCTCATTTGAAAGAGCTTTAAAAATAATTACTAAAGACTTTTTACAGCTTTTTTATATCTTGCTTCGTTCTTGAAATATTCTGACTGAAAACAGTGAGCATTTTTTACCTTTACATTCTTTGACAGTCATTATTTATATATATGTGACGTAAATTCCGGACATTTGCATATCAATAAAACTGAAATAACTCAGAGACAAAGTTAGCCCTCGGCCACTAACAACGTCTGCTCAGGAGGCTAAGCTAAGACAAAGTGTGCAAACAAAAATCTTCAAAATAAGTACTAGTTGAAACATGAGCAGTCGATCTTTATCTGACACGACCCATCTTATGAGTTCATTGGCAAAGTAATTTTAAAAATAAACATTGTCTAAGCCGAGAAAATCAAAGCTGGAGTTTATGTAAATCAGGACAAATCTTTATTCGATTTATAAACATTGATTAAACATTCAGTTCTTTTGAATTTTCTTCATGAATTATTAAGAGGCAATTTTTTTCAATGTCACGTATTTGCAATGAAAAGTGTTCAAAACCTAAAATCTTTTTGGCGTTCCTCTCAAAATTACTTTGTTTTAGCTTTATTCTCTAGTTTATACAGTTAGCTACCTTTTTAAATGCATCTGCCGGTTGAGAAACATAAAATAATAGTTAAAAATTGTCAATGAAAATACAATTATCAAAGATGCTTTAAAATTGACGCCATATTTACAGCCATATAAACAAAACTTACTGAACTTCAGATATCATTTTCTCTTTGGCGTATCATCTAAAATCTTTTCATTTTAGCATTATTTTACAGATAAAACACTAAACATACTTTTTAAGTTTGTTTGCCGATTGAGAAACGTATCGAAAAATAAAAATTTTGAATTTAGTCATAACCTCAAGTGGTATATTATACGCATTAGTTTTGAGCGCGTGTTACGTAACATACAAAAAAATATCCTCTTAATGAGTTTTTTAAGTTACAATATCATTTCAAAGGTTCTTAGGAATAAGATGGTAGAATAATTGAGGTTAGGTGCACTTTAATAAGACAACACTTTCTTCTAGACATTGCATCTCAAGATTTGGCCAAACATGTTACAATTGTGGCGCCGGTCAACAACCACGACAGCGACCACAGAGCATTGTCACGAAAAATAAATACAAGTTTGGCGAACAGCCTCAGACTCCGCGTAGAGCCACACCAGCCCGATACAACTCGAGACTCCCCTCTCAAAATCCATATAAATCCCCTTGGGATTACTATTCGTCCCAGCCCAAGCAGTCGAACCCAGACCCCTATCGCTACACGTACTCCTACGGTTCGTCGTCGGGGCAACGAAGGAAACGTACGTCACACTTTGTGCATAAATTAAAAATAACCGTCCCGCGTAACCTGACTGCCCGCGAAAACCTGCTTGTGTTGACGCCCGTTTTGGAAAGCTTGCAAAAACATTTCCACTATGAAATTGTAAGAGGAAATCGAAGTCTATTCGCAATTAAAATTAAAGAAGGAGTCAGTATTTTGTACGCCAAAAACACATTGAAAGTCGGTCTGCATCGGGTTTATCTTAAAGGCAAGCTAGATGGCGCTGAAATGAAATCAGCTTTTGAGGCCGAAAACCAAATCGAGTTCACGGGGTCTGGAGACGAGAAGAAAGCGCAGGAAAAATCAAAGAAATCTGAAATTCCCGTAAATGGTGTAGTTGGTGTTTCTGAAGCGAGGAAATTCCATCTCGATATTTTTATTACTGTTGAATAAGACTTTTTAATAAGAATTTTGTAGATTACAATATATATTTAGCCGTTGTTTTAAATGTATAACTATGCGCATTTTGTAATATTTTCAAGAAAAGTACCGTGGTTACTGGATACTATAATTTGCAGCAAGCATTCAATTTTTTTGTAACTGTAATTATATAATTTAGGTAAGTTTAGTTACATTTTGTTGTTTATAAGGAATAAAGAATTACCGTTCCAAACCGTTGTTGATCCCGACATGGGAATGCTTCAATATGGATTTTATAAAGCGTTACACACTAGCGGTCAGAAAGAACTGTCAAGCAAGGCTGGATTTTGGTGGAAATAGTGGGGGAGGTGGAAAATATTTAGGGGAGGTGGAGCGGTCTTGCTCGCCCCCCCCCCCTCCCATGGAAAGTTAGGGCTTAGAACGGGCCAAAGTCAACGACGTGACGTATGCAGTAAGTGTACATATGTATCAGTGTATTAATGAATTTTGACTGTACAAATCATCCAATTTTGCCCTTCGTAACAATTACTGCAAAGTTTCTTTCAAAACAATTGCATTGGGTACTTGACACATACGTAAATGGCTATCACTGTTTCAATTTTACAGAAAAACTTTCTTACGAAGTGTAGACCCTAAGCTGATCTATCACTGCCTCGTCCCCAGTGGCATGACTTTTCAGGAGAGGTGCAAACAGAATCCGGCGATGCTGTCAAGTTAGAAATCCACATATAAGTAGTATTTTAGTTCGTGGTGACAATTTTCCTTGACATTTCTGCCATGGATATAAAAAATTAATCATTCGGAAATATAGTACAATTCGACCTAGTTAAGTATCGTATCGAATGACGTCATGTTTTCCAATTCCAACAGAGGGATATTCATTGGTCAAAAAGATGTGAAATCATAGATCCGAATCAAAGAATGAATCAGTCCAGAACGCGGAGGAATGGTGTTCGAGTTGTCTGCTAGAGTTTACTGTAAGCAGTCATGTGTTACCAACATTCGCAAAGCAGACGAAAAGCAGACGAACGTTTCACAGTTAAATACTTGAAGAAATATTTAGGCCTAGGCAGGGGGGTTTACCGGAATACCAATATACTCGATTATACTGGCTCAATATACCCCTATACCTAAAATTCCAGGCTCAGTCTGTCTGCCCGAGTACTTACCAGTAATTTTGGGTATAAATCATTCTCGTACCCAGAGCCCTTCTTACGCGCGGTGCGACGAGGGGCTTTGGCCAAATCCGTATTCCGAACTGGCATCTGATTGGCTAGTTCTAACACCGGACATTGTTTTCTTACCATGTTTTTATGGTATCCGGTTATGGATTTGGCCAGAGCCCCTCGTCGCACCGCGCGTAAGAAGGGCTCTGGGTACGAGAATGGGTATAAATGTAGGACAGTTTATGGACGTACTTCAACCTACTTTAACAAGAAAATACTGTATACCGAAAGTGAAATGGTCTAAATATCGATAAATATGAAACACCTGCCCAAGCCTGAATCTTTGATGAAGTAAACTTGAAAGTATTAACCAGCTTTTAGCGGCCATTGTTATACAGTGTGTGTGAACCTTTCAAATTCAAATTAGCTATAACGTATTGCAGTAATTTGACAGCTCTAATTGCTTTGAATTAATGGTTGGGTAAGAACACAAGGTCTTGTACTCATGGGACGAAACTCAAAGAAATAAAAAAATAGAAAATTTAGAAGAAATACAGTATTTCTTTTAAATTGTCTAATTTTTATTTCTTTGAGTTTTGTCCTGTGAGTACAAGACCTTGTGTTCTTACCCAACCATTAATTCAAAGCAATTAGAGCTGTCAAATTACTACAATACGTTATAGCTAATTTGAATTTGAAAGGGTTAAGTTTTTTTTATACACACTGTATAAGAACTAAAACTACCAAAATACTTTTTTCTGGGCTATTTTTAAAAGCAATTACTACAGGAGAACACCTGAACTAAACTAAATTTTTATATACTGGATTAACTTTCTTCGAATATAAACTAAACTTCTACAATTCCACGATTTACAATCACAACCCCAGGGGGTCACATACCGTATACGATCTAATCCCGAGGGTACAAATATCCCAGGAGGTGACGTCACATGTCCTCTTGAGCAATATGGCGGAAAAACGCGAACCACCTCCTGATCTATTTGATGCTGAAGAAAACCTTTCGGAAGACGAACCGCTTGAAGAGCCGAAGCCAGCAGAAGAGAAGGATGCCGACGATGTTCAGGAGACCGTTGAAGTGAGCTTAGACAACGATGAAAGCGCTGCGGACGAAGACAATGAAGCCACGAAGAGTGAACCGACTGTCAGTGAGCCTGCCAGTTCAGATGACCCTGACCCAATAGAGTCAAAAGAAGCCGAAAAAGAGCCAGAAAAGCCTTCGGAGAGTTCCGATACACCCGAGGAAAAGGTGGAAGAAGATAAAAGCGAGGATAAGGTATAAGAATTGAGTATTTTCATGTAAACATATTGGACTTTAATGTGCAGGATTAACAGGAAGTCAGGAACGAACAAGTTTGCTCAGTCTATTTGTCTGTTCTATATTAAAATTGCATGGATATTTGCATTTCTAGCTTATGTCAAATTGACTTTTCATCGGAAATTGTTTATGCACAAAATGTAATTAACAATTTGAGTGATTAATTGGTTGATGTGTTTTTATCGCCTGCGGATGTCAATTAACGAAATTAAACATATTTGCAATATTGATAATATTGCCCCTGATTATTGAAATGTATTCATGTACTATTATATACTAATATCAGTGCATTGAATAGGACAAGTAGAAGATGGGTTTATTCAAACTCTTTGTTTTGTAGTTTGCAAAGAAATTATCCAAGACTTTATACTGTTCTATGTGCAGTACATTGCCAATAGATTATTTTGAAATGTGTGAATGATGCCAATCCATTTAAAACCTGAGAAAATTATAAGATCAGTATTATTTTACCCCCAAGAAAGAAAGATAAGACACACCCTCAGAACTTTAAAATCCCCCAGGGCATTTTCAAAAAATGAAATGACGCACCAACACATAATGACTCTGGCGTCATAGCCCGAAGCATGGCATGTACATAATGTAAGACTGCATTGGGCTATTCCAATTATTATCCGCACCCCCCCCCCCCCTGTTGAGGAACCCCTTTCTCATGTCGGTACTCTCCTAGAATTTCCGCAAATTTTCATGTAAAATTTACCCCTTCCCATGGAATTTCCTTGTAAAAATTACCCTTGCCCATGGAATTTCCATTTTAAATTCAGCCTTCCCCATGGAATTTCCATTTTAAATTTGACCCTGTCCACAGACTTTCCATGTATAAATTACCTTTCCCTATTGAATTTCCCTCATGGGACATTTACTCCCGGAAATGTCCCTCTAACATATGTCCTCCAATGGAATTTCCATCCCATGAAATTTACCCCTCCCTCTAGAAATTCCATGTGAGAATTACTCCTCCCCTTGGAATTCCAGATCCCGAATGCCCCCTTCCCTGGAAATTCCAGGGTTAATCCACCCCTTCCCCTGGAAATTCCAAGGTTAATGTACCCCCTCCCCTGGAAATTTAAAGTTAATGCACCTCTCCCCTGGAAATTCCAAGGTTAATGCACCCTCTCCCCTAAAAATTCCAAGGTTAATGCACCACCTCCCCTGGAAATTCCAAGGTTTCTCAACGGGGAGGGGTGCGGTAATAAGGGGCAACGGTGGCCAAGTGGTTAGCGCACTTGCCTTTCACCTCTGAGGCTGCAGGTTCGAGTCTCACTAAGTACCTTCTCAGTGCGACTCGAACCCAATCCCCATGTGAAAAGAGTAAAAGTCAACGCTCTGCCGAAAGCCGTGGGTTTTCCCCGGGTACTCCGGTTTCCTCCCACAGGGAAAGTTGACAGGGTGGGTTAGGCAAAAAGGGCCCACAGTAATTGGCATATGCTGTTGTGGTGACCCTGCCCTAGTTGGCAAAGCTAAATAAATAAATAAATAAATAATTGGAATAGCCCTTTTGCATAAGCACTTGGACATAATACTGTACAATGTAAAATTGTTTGACAATTTGTATTATATTTCAGCCCAAAGCTGCAAAACCAAAAGTGTCATTCGAAATAGAAGAGGTAATTATGTGAAGGTACCCCCACCCCCCAACTCAGCCACCTTGCCCCAGTCAAAGTCCTTTTCTCTAAAATATGAGAAAAACCACAGAATAAAGATCAGGAACAGAAGGGCCACTCAGCAGTGCAACGTGTCCTCGTTTTTTTTTATGCAAAAATATGCAGTTTACTGACCAGAAGGTGCAGTATAGCGTGTTTATTGGCCAAACAATGTCATTGACTGCAAGGAAAATGGCGGCCAACATGCGCAATGCGACATGTGCAAGGACAGAAACTTCAAAGCTTCCAACTTAAGTGGCCCTTCTGTTTGGATCCTTTATTCTGTGGCAAAACATTGGACGAAAAATGGAATATAGAAGGGAGGTTTTAATATTCTAGTAACTAAAATTTGCTTTGTGAATATTATGTTTTCCAAGTGGATATCCCCTATTCCAGACCCTATAGATTTGAGTTGTTGGAAGGCTAGGCTAAACAAGTTAGTGATCGAGTTGTGGTGGGGTGTTTCACCCCCCGCCCCTCACCACCCCTCTAGCGACGCCCCTGTTCATGATCACTGTATGTGCACTTCAATATCATGTATATTTGATATTTTTCCAGAAGGAAGATGAGGAAGAACAACAAGATGAACAACTGGATGAGGAGGAGCTGGAAGAAACTGATGAATTCGATCTTGAGATCAAAGTCTCCAATCCTGAGAAAGTTGGTAAGAGAAACTATGTCACATATTGTGTTCTGATTGGTCGCCTGACCGCTGCCATGCATTTCTTTACACCTCCTGTTTTTGCGATTTTGCTACCCACCTCTCAAAATACTTTTATGTCCACCGCTTGAAAATTGATGTCCACCTCTCAAAATTTGATATCCAACCTTTAAACGTTCTTGAGCATTTTGATTGGTCGAAAATCACATCTGGGGCAAAGGTCAATCTGCTGACCTCAGCTTCAAAATGGCATCAAGTTATAAATACTTGAATAACATTTTAATATAAACAACTGAATTTGAAGATACATGCCAGGATTTATATCAAACAGCTTAAGGAAAAAAATGTTTTTCATCAAAACAGTAAATTAATGTAAGTTAGGTTTTAACATTTTAGTGTTTAATTAAATTAATACCGATGTTTGTATTTTATATATTTATGAGTTTGGAATTTAAGTATTCAACGTTCGGTTTTGCACAAGGTTAAACGTTTCTTATGGGACATCACAAAACCATTATGCCATTTAATCTGTCTAATGCCAGACAATTTTACTCCTTGTATCCTGACTGGACATTAAACATTTCAAACATTACAATAATGCTAAATGATAAATGTCTCTGGTGCTCTCCCAATAGCTTGGAATACTGGTGTCTCAGATGGGACACTATACAGATGGAATCCTCGAGGTCTGAAATTTGCAGCATCCCGATATCCACAAGATACAAAAATTTGATTTTGGATACAAAACTGTGAATGACTTGTATCCCGACTGGATACTAAGAAAATTTCAAACATTAGAAAAATGTTAACCCATTGAGCCACAATGCCCCCGTCCGCCCTACTAAGTTTTTTTACTTGGGCGTCAATTGACCACCTCCATCTTCCAACAACATTTAAAATGACTGCTCCCTTATGAGTTATGATGCTCTTTAGGTGATGGTATGGGGGCATATATGCAGTATAAAGTTACAACCACGGTATGTGTTCTACAGTATTTTGTTTAATTAAGTACAGTACTTCACAGTAATCACAGATTGCAAGCCAGGACACCAATATACTATACAACTCATATTTTTATACTTCTATTTTGCATTTAGACAAGTCTTGCGAGTTTCAAGAAACCAGAAACGAGTGTTTCACGTCGCTTCAGTGATTTTCTTGGACTTCATGAACGGCTTAATGCCAAGTTTCTTCTTCAGGGCAAAGTTGTGCCTCCAGCTCCTGAAAAATCTGTTCTAGGTGGGTTTGAATTTTGGCCTGTATTATACAGCAAGCGTGGTACTCCAACGGATATTGCTGCGTACTTGAGCTGGCACAAACCGCACACATAGGGTGAACTTAGTCTTTGACTTCAAAAGGCATTGGCAATAAAAAATTAGTTTGTCTCATTCAAAAGAACTCTTAGATATTGAACTGTTACCGATTTGTCATATCTTGCTTAGTTCTCGAAATATTTGGACTAATTCTTGACCTCATTAACTGGGGTTTTAATGACGTCAGGAGTTGGGTTAACCATATACTTGTAAAACTACCGAGTAACAATCTAAAATGACCGAGTAACAATCCAAAATTGTTTGAAAATTGAAATGTACCCATATTGATCGATCGCTTACTCAAAAGATAAAAAATTAGTGTGACCCCTCTTGACATAGCATATCCTCAATAATCCAAGATGGCGAACAGCCCACTTTTTTCAGTTGAAATATTTTGAAAACTAAGCAAGAGATAAACAATCTGTAATAGAGTTTAATATATAGTTTTAAGACTTCTTTGAGAGTTCTGAACTAAACTAATTTTACATAAAGCACATTTTTTCTAAAATGTATACCGTAAACCTCCGAATATAAGTCCCCCCCCCCCGAATATAAGCCTCCCTCGCGTAAGCCCACCACATGTACTAACGCTCACCTCTATTCCAAATATAAGCCCACCCGAATATAAGCCCACTTGTTTATCACTATTGTTTATCACTATTACCACTATTAATCACTATTATTACTATGCTTAACACTTGTTTATCACTATTACTATACTTGTTTATCACTATTACACTAACACAAAAGATTGTCCATGTTTTAGCCCCCCCCCCCTCGTATATAAGCCCTTCCCCCTTGTATAAGCCCATCAAAAATCACTTACAAAAGAATATAAGCCCAGGGTTTATAGTCGGAGGTTTACGGTATTTCAATAACCTGAAGCTGGTACCAGCAAAATGTAAGTACAGTATATACAGATTAGGTGCCCTATTGAGTACCTATGTGGTTGTGGTACTTGGCTAGCAAAAACAGTACAAGACCTAATACTAACGTGTCTCTGGTAGTACTATATATTTTATAAGTAGGCGGATTGTCGCAGTGTGCATGCCTCTTTTGAGCTTTGTACTCTGTCTGGTTTAGGAATGACTAAAGTGAAGTTAGGAAAAGAAGAATCAACATCTGCCGACTTTGTAGAAAGGCGTAGAGCTTCGTTGGAAAGGTGAAATATTGTTTACTTTATTTAAAAATTATTATTAAAACTTTATTTAAACATGGAATTCACAAAATGTGCTCTTCCATGGAGCCATGTATAATAATACTATGATGACTGCCTTAATTTTTGAAGTTGCTACAGATGTAGCATTAATTGCTTCAATAGGTAGGTTATTTCACAGGACAGATCCTCTATAGGTAAAGCTTTTCTTGAATGACTCAGTCAAAGGAATCAGAGTCGCACAAGTTATAGCTACTGTACTGTATGTATCATATTAGCTCAAGAGATAGAGTAAAATAATAAAGTAGGGCGCATTAGGGTACATTACAAGTGAATGATTTAACTTTTGTTGTGCTACATTTCCATGTAGGTATCTCAATAGAACAGCAGCCCATCCTGCTTTGAGAGAAGACTCGGAATTCAGACAATTCTTAGAAACTGAAAATGTAAGGCATATTTGATTTGCCATGTTAAGTTGGTGCTTTTTAGAGCTTTGTAAAAATGGGCTGTCCCATTTCCCATGTCGAGGAGTGTTTTACAACACACCTGAAGAACTCTTGTTGTAAAAGAGATCCCATAAAAGTGAACTTGAAAGATGTTTTTTGCACTTCACCCGGTTTAACTTGAATGCTGAGTTTAGTGGATAATCCAATCGAGCATATAAATACACTATTTTAAGACATAACCAGGAACGGTTGCGAAAAATGCAACACAACACTAAGTCCTCTGGTAGGAATCGAAGCTGCGGCCCTGCGATTCTGGTGCAGTGATTCCTACCAGAGGACCTAGTGTTGCATTCATCGCAAGTTATACAGTATATGGTCACTTGGATTATCCTTCAAACCCAGCATCCCCTCAAAAGTCCCTGTTTCGGAAAAAACCCCTGGCTTTCCTATTTCTTGTTGCAAAAACTTAGGTATAGGGCAGGTCGAGCTTTCTTTTCTTTTGTTATTTTCTTTTATAAATGCTCATGCACGAGAACGATATTCTATATGTGATATTCTACGGCAATGATGGCACAAATATTCGTTAAATATATCAACTTTGAACTGAACCAACGCCACGAACTGGGTACGGAAAGTTTGTCCAAGCTCTTTCCAAATTGCAAGGAGGGGTGCAGGTTTTCCATGGGGTGGTTCATGAGGGAGCCTTGCTGCCCACTCTCCTCTGCAGTCTGCAACGCTACAATCTCAACATTACCATTATTGGAGATGGCCAAAACTACATGTTCACAGTTCTGTTACGTTTTACATTATCTTTTGTTTACAAAGTTTATATTGGCTTTTCATCACTCAATTCAATTAAATTCGAAATCGACACGCACTAATAGTGGAAGTTTCGCTATTCGAAACCAGGGCTCGAATTTTATCGCGGCAATTGCCGTAGAGGGAGAGCAAAATGCCGTGGATCTGCCAAATGCCGTGGATTATACTATTCACTGTGCATTACTACTTTGATACTTGAATTCAGATGTTGATCAAATCATGCGTAAATCACTATTTTACTCTCAGTTTTCTTCAAAAAAAAACCCCCACTAAAAGAAATACGTATAATTTGAAAAATGCCGTGGAAACTGCCAAAATTGCCGTAGACAGCTGTTACGTTCCACGGCAATTTTTAATGCCATTGCCGTCGATTGATTTCTGGGAAATTCGAGGCCTGGATGCTAGGGGGTGATAGACATCTCTAGGGGGCGGCCGGGGGGTTGCACGACTACGGTAGATCCGTCCCTGTAACTTGTATTCAAATGTGTGCTATTTTATAGCTTCCTAGAGCAACTGGCACTGCAGCATTTAGTGGAGGTGGTTTCAAGAGATTGGTGAAGAATGTTGGTGACACCATGTTTAATTTAACGTCAAAAATAGAAGAGTCAGATCAGGTATACTACAATTTTACTTGTACCGTAGCATTCCAGAAGTTACCGAAATTTTATTTCAAAAATTTAACGGTTCTAATACGGAAGATTTTTCGTGTTTCTAGTGGTTTGAAGACAAGCACATTAAAATCGATGCGCTTGAAACACAGTTAAAGAAATTACATCAGGCCCTAGAGAGCTTAGTTAATAATCGCAAAGGTAGGTCACTCTTGCTGTTCACATTACGGTGCATTTCTATGACCATTCTATATAGTACATTAGATTTCACATATAACACTGTAAATTTATTTTTTTTAAACTGACCTTATTTTTTGCTACAACGTTGCAGAGCTGAGTACATCAACAACCGTTTTTTCCAATGCCATTGCTGTTCTTAGTAAGTGTTGAAATACTTTAAAGTACCAAAATACTGTACTTCATAAAACATTGATATAGGGAGACCTGATATTAATTCGAGACTACATCTTATGCACTGGTAGTCACTTGGACGACTAAAAAAATTTTTTAATTCCAACTCCTGGGGTGTACATGTTTCTACACCACCTAAAGACATCCGTCTCCACATAAATATTAGAGAGTTTAAGTTCGACTTCCGACACCGATACTAACAACATGTCATGCGCATGCTCCCTGCTCGCAAGAAGCACGAGGACAAGTGTACTGGAAGTCACCACTACCGAAGTCGGCCTTGTATTGGAAGTCGGGGGAATTGTAAGATAAACTCATATAAATCGGATATTTCATAATTTTTACGATAAACATGTAAACTATTTGTTTATTAGCATCGCCTGAGTAATGTTTTAGTCGGAATTTTAGCTCAGCTGCCTTTTAGTATACCGCACATTTTCGGTGACGAATAGTGTCTCTATACTTTATCTGTCGTGATAACTTAACGCTTTAAAATTCCCGGTACCAAAGTGAGAACGGAAGTGAAAACATCGGTGTCGGTATTGGTATTGGAAGTCGAACTTAAACTCTCTATTAAGTCTCAAACCAACTCCCAAATTTGTCCGCGACTTGATATTATCGTACTTGTTGCAAGGTTCTTCTAACAAGTTCTGTACAGTCATGATATAACAATGTTGTTACAACCTTGTGTCATCAACCTTGTAACATTCTTGTTATATCATGACTGTATCAGACTTTTTAGAGCAACCTTGAAACAAGTCTGATAATGCCATCAAGCTTGTCACAAGTTGTTAACAGTTTGTTCCAAACTTGTTACAACAACTGGGAACAAGCAGTGCGAACACAACTTGTCGACAGCTTGTGAACAGATTTGTAACAACTTGTTTGCAGACCTGCAACAACTTGTTGTAACGACAATCAACAGGATCAGGAATGAAGTCGTGCAATTTACTTGAAGGGTCTAGGTTACGTTAAAGATGATTTCCACTCCGTTCTGCGCATCAGTTCTGCTCATAACAAAGGAGGACCCCCAGATATAAACTTTTTTGAATTGAAACGTACAGTTTATATTCATTTACTAGCATATCGAACCAGAAAAGTGTTAGATATTCAGTTAGTATATCATATTTTACAAATATAGCAATTCAAAACGTAAACAAAGTGGACATCATCTTTAACAAAAAAACATGCAAAGATTCTTCTATTGAAGAGTGTTTCGAGATTATAGTTAGCAAGACTATCTTTGTAAGTTAAATTAGGGTACATTATTCGCTTCCCATCTCTCCACAGGCTTCCAGTCCAGTGCGCCAACATTGCGCAAGCGAAAAGCAGGAACCAGGCTGGATCCACCCTATGTTTAACTGGTCCTTGTGCTTTGTGTTTTGTACATAGGTAGTGCAGAAGAACATAGTTCATTATCAAGAGCTTTGTCAAACCTCGCTGAAGTTGAAGAGAAGGTCGATAAAGTTATTCAAAATCAGGTTGGTTGCTTAAGTCACTACGGAAAGCAAAATAAATTCTGTCTGTCTGTCTGTCTGTCTGTCTGTCTGTCTGTCTGTCTGTCTGTCTGTCTGTCTGTCTGTCTGTCTGTCTGTCTGTCTGTCTGTTTGTTTGTTTGTTTGTTTGTTTGTTTGTCTGTTTGTCTGTTTGTATACTGTAACTGTTTGTAACTTTTTCAATACTCAAATTATATTATACTAAAACAATTAGTCGCCTCAGGCTTGGTGATTACAAGCCTATATTCACTTCGGCTTAAACTAATTGTTAATTAACTAGTCTACTATTGTGTTTATCCTAATTTACAAAACATCCACAGCACCAGTCGTATAATGTTGAACTATATTTTTTAGATGGAAACAGATTTTTACGTTCTCGCTGAACTTCTCAAAGACTATCTCGGTTTGGTTCACTCGGTAAAGGTAAGATGCCAGATTTTCCCAATAAAATATTTAATATTTCCTTCACAATCTCCTCACACGCATTTTTAGTGATATCGAATCTGCGAGATCTGGCAAAAGTGTTTAATGTTCCCCAGATCTTGAATTTGCCTTTTTCAAATGTTTCTCAAAAGTGCATAAAAACAATGTAGAATTTGACCGTATATTACCGCGTTATATTTGCAACAACAACGTATACTTGACTGTATTTATGTATACATGACAGATAAGGAAGGATGATATAATGATTCCTTAAAGGTGATCTACAGTCCGTATGTAAACAAAGCCTTTGTTTACATTTTTGTGTCCAAAATATTGAGCTTTATTCGACAACTATTTATATTTTCAAGCTTCTAGAGTATAATAAATGATCAAGAAACAACAATCAGGCTTTTCAAGAACTCAAAACATAGTTAAACTGTTTGCATCATAAAAAGTGGGCTCATTTGTGCACATGCGCAGATCGGACTGTAGATCACCTTTAAGATTCTCTCACAACGTGTGTGTGGAAAATTGAAAATTTTCCCCAATCTTCTTGCTAAGACAATGTCCCTCAGAATTCCGAGGTCTCACTTTTTCCAAATCTAGAATCTGCCTTATTGAATCTATTGAATCGAATTTTTAGCTGTGTTTTAATCAACGTCTTCGCGTGTTCACAAATCTTCAAAATGCTCAACAGAATTTAACAAAGAAACGCGAGGCTCTTGTGAAAGCAGAACTCGCCTCAAAGTCAGATAGAATGAAGCAATGCAAAGACGAAGTCAATGAGGTATGAGTTGACAACATCGTATCCGGGCTCTTTCTTTACCGGCGACAGCATTGAGGATAAAGCCTGGGTATGAGGTTGTGTGTGGTCGAAACCAGTGAACTCTAAGGGAACTGGAACGATAACTTGGCGGCCATCTTTGAAGCCAAATTGAAGGCCGCCATGTACGTATGGAGTGGAAAATACGTCACCAAAAAGATGTCTGTTTTCGACCACTAAATAGCTGTATTTCAACAAGGAAAAAAGCTAAAAACTTTCAACTATACCTGAAATTTAATACAAAACATGTTTCCAGAACGTAGAGCAGTTTTAAAGTTCTTTTTTCAGGAGTCAAAGTGCGAAGTTTTTTTCGGCACGTTCAAACTTGTGTAATATTTTGAATATCAAGCTGTTACCCAGGAAGTTTTTGCTGTTAGTGGATGTAAAATACTTAGAACTATCCAGGAAACCAGGTTTGAATCTTTAAAGTTGAAGCCTTTTGATAAAAAAGTACTTTTTCTCGCTGATTTTCGCTCAAAAACAAACTTTTGACTGAATTTCCCGCTCCTCGAAACTCTCCCCAGTCCTTTTGAAAGTTAATTTATTGCTGGCCGTGCTCGCGAGAAGCGCCATTTTGGCTTCAGGCAAGTATGGGCATATTTATCTGCAGTTAGCGTTCCAGTGTTATTACAGTTCACTGGGTCGAAACACACCAGGGGTTTGGTCTGGGTACATATACAACAGCAATCTACATGCAGGGTGTAAAAAACTACACAGTTGGAAAATTTGTGAAAACTTTAATGCACTATGTGTGTAGTTTGGGGTCTGCTAGAATCTTTACCACTAAAAGTATTTTGAAAAGTACATTTTCTCGAGTGCAGGTTCTTAATTGTCCTTTACCTCAAACTTCTACCAATAAATAAAAAACGTTGCCGAGTACTGTATGTCTTGAAATAATTTAGACACAAACCCAGTAAATTTTATATTACTATATAATCACTTATTCAGTATTATGTTGAAATAGATGCAATGATAAATATCTGGGGTCGGTTGTATAAAAACGTGATTAAAGATGATGTCCACTCCTGTGCACATGCGCGAACTTTGTTTACGTTTTGAATTGCTATATTTGTAAAATATGATATACTAACTGAATATCTAACACTTTTCTGGTTCGCTATGCTTGTAAATGAATATAAACTCTACGTTTCAATTCAAAAAAGTTTGAAAGATGCAAAATTTGGGCAAGTTTATATCTGGGGGTCCCCCTTTGAGAGTTAATCACTATTTAACTACAAAATAGTGATTAAAAAGTGATTAAGAGTTTTATACAACCGGCCCCAGGTCTCATTCTTCTGTGAATTCTAGTGCGAACGAAAGGTGGAGAAATGTCAGGAGGAGTTCAAGGAAATGTCGAAAACCATTAGGAAGGAATTCGCGAGATTTGAGGTCAGTTTGTCAGTCTGTTTAATAATAGTAATAAAATTTCATGTTCCACAGACTTGGTGCACATACCGAAAACGCCCAAAAATAAATTTAATTTCGTGTTTTCCTGTTGGGTCATTTAAGCTTATACCCAAGTATTTAACGATACTACGTGGTAGTAGAAAGTAATTTTTTTACAACTTCCCCAATAGGCACGAAATATAAACAAGAAAACAGGTCCGAAATCGGATCCCAATTAATGTATAAACGTTATTGGTCTGACCTCTGAAATTTGTTACGCGCCGCATGCGTATAACATAGTATCAATGTATATACAGGGTATATTACTAAAGACCTAAAGTTCTAAATTGTCTTTATAGTAACAAATTTCAGAGGTATGAGGCGAGTTTATTTAAAGATTGACATTTTTTTTATATTCTATACACGCATTTTGGGATGCCTGGCATTAGTTCAGCCTTCTTTCCTTGCGATTTTCCTTTCCTAAATATGTTTGTTTTTTTCTACTTTCAGCGTAACCGTACGAAAGACTTCCGTGCAGCCATAATTAAATACTTAGAAGCTCTTATGGAGAACCAACAACAGGTAAGTCAACTAGATAGTACAGTACGAAAATACAATCCACTCCCTCAAATAGAATATCTGGCATTGTCCAGAATAAAATGTTATAAAAGTAAACCAAAATAAAATGTTATAAAAGTAAACCAATCTGATAAAAGTAAACCAGTATAAAAGTTTCCCAATATGAAAGTAAATATAAATGTTAATATTTCTAGCACAAAGCAGCTTCTATATTCAGCTGCTTTCATCACTAGTTTCAAGTTTGGTATCACTGAACAACACAGAACAGTATCAAAACAATAGCCTCCTGCGCAGGCATCTCGCCAGGGGGATTGGGTTTTATTTCAACACCCATTCGCAGGCTAAAACCCATAGAGATGCCTATGGAGGCCAGTATCAAAATATATTTTTTGGAATAGATGACACCAGTAACATGCTGCAGTATGTATCTTTTACTTCATACCCCTCTTGATATTAAAAATTCAAGGAAGGGTATGAAATTTTTTCCGCTTATTTGAGGGGTGCCAAGTAATTTCGTGAATGGTGGAACATGAATCATCTTCCATAGTTTATAAAATAGCATGAAGTTATTTAATTAAAGAAGATGTATCCCATTCCTCCTTTGAATGTTCGGAATATCGCAAATCATGCCAAAATCGCCAAACTTTTATGGCCACTGACAAATTGACTTGAAGTTTGCCTGACAATTGATATGGCTGCATGAAGACTCGTTATTCTATTCTAGGTCCTGAAACATTGGGAAGGCTATCTGCCTGAAGCCAAAGAAATTGCTTAAGAAGACAGTAAAGTTTGTATTTGTGTAGCACATGCACATAGATTTGATTTTAAATGAAGTGATCTCAATAATTGTCTATATATCTGACCATGACGAACCAAAACCTCGTGCACGCATCCGTTCGGTTTTGCAATTTAAATTAATGAATAGATTTGGACGTCCAATTGAAAATGAATATTACATTGTAAACTTTTCGTATACAATTATATTATTTTATTAATTGCATGTATAAAAAGTTTATTAGTTCAACTGGAAATGTTGATTAACTAAACTACTGGTACGTCGTCGAAACGACAGTTCGAAAGATAGCGTGGTATAAGTGATTAAATATATACCATCACAGTGACATCAAGTTGGGATTAACGCCTGTATTCTAAAAGCTCACTCACACTCAATGAGTGGATGTTCAATCTGAGCTTCTCTTGAGTGTCAATGCTGTTTTTGAATAGCTGGACGGTGAGTAGTCACATAGTAAGGAACGAGACTAACGCCTGTATTCTAAAAGCTCACTCACACTCAATGAGTGGAGGTTCAATCTGAGCTTCTCTTGAGTGTCAATGCTGTTTTTGAATAGCTGGACGGTAAGTAGTCACATACAAAGGTACGATACTAACCCTCCAGCTATTCAAAAACAGCAATGACACTCGAGAGAAGCTCAGATTGAACTTCCACTCATTGAGTGCGAGTGAGCTTTTAGAATACGGGCGTATGTCATTGAGCTTTGTACGTATCTTGAACAAGAACTTCAGTCATTCGGCCTATGGGAAAAGTGAAGCCAAAGATAGCGGAAATTGACAGTCCCATAAACAGCTTTTATACCATTTTTCCCAACTAATTCCAACAGACCATATCGCTAATTTATCAGTTCATGAAACCATAATAGTATTCTTTAAATCGATATAATTTTAACACACTCCTTGCAAGCAACAGCTAGCTAGCTATCTAAACCTAGAGTTACTGGCTAAAAAGTCCAAAAATTATGTGGAGCCATTTATCTAAGTTTGGAGTTAATGGCTGCGCCGGCATAATATAGACTAGTAAGCTCCATTCATTCGAAGATTGGCTATAATATATACCTGCACAAAAATAAAATCTACAGACAAGCGGTCCACGGTTGATTTGTTAATCTTTTCATTAACTTTGCATGGTTTCGGCAAAACTGCGTATATACACACACTAACTTCCAATGACGGAATCCTCTTTAAATATAAATGACTCGATTCGACACGTCATTCGCATGATCAGACCAAATGTCTAGCTGGCGTTCCGGGCCGATATTTATAATTGCATAGTAAATATATTCTTTTAAATGCTTCTGATTGTCGGCCTTTTTATTGCATCGAATAAATACAATATTTGCGTCAATGATATAAGATGATATTTCTATAAGCACGCATGCAAACGATATGCGTTCTTGATTCTTCTAATGTTCTGTTAATTATGACATTCTTTATATAAATGAACTGACACTTTATGATTCTTTCTATTTCTTGAGTGTTTTTATTTAACTTTTAAATCATAATTGGAGTGATGGTTAAAGAGCGGACGAACCGCAAAGCGGTTGTTTCCTGAGAGTCGAGCAGCATCCCTTTAAGTTTAATATTATATCTAAGAACAGAGTCGTAAAAAAAACAGCTTACGAAAGCAATTCGCAATGTCAACTATATACATATACGACTCATTTACTACATATATTTTTATGTTCCTAGCGATATTGAGCTGGAATACATCGTAATAAACAGTGTTCTACTCTTTGTACACTATACAAACATACACTTGTGCTATAACAGCACACAAAACAAAATCAAACAACGCCAAAGGTGACCTTGAAAATGAACTAGTACTTTTTAATATATTGCCCAGCTTTCCACTCCGTTTTAGTCATCATGTGATGAAGAACTGATCACCATGCATGACATCATTGTACATGCTATGATCATCTGATCATGACTGAGACATATAGTCGAAAGCGATAGAGAATATTACAGTTGATTTCACATAACTTTTCCGTGAATGTTGCGAACTTCGTTCCGAACTTCGTTGTGAAGTTCAAAAGTTTATACTGAAATTCACAAGCCGGTTTGTAAACAAAGCCTCTGGTTGGTCCCTTAACAAAAATAAGCCAATTAGAGGCTTTGTTTACTAACCGGCTTGTGAATATTAGAGAATATTAATTCAGCTGGCTAACACCCTGGTTTTGCCAAAAAATTACGGGAACTACTGAGTATACTTTAATAAAAACAAAACGGTAACTCCAAAAATAAACATTTTAAATTTGAATGCAAACGTAATCAGCCCAGTGTATAATTTATATACGAGTCCCTTGACCCCCTTCTAGTTGTGAACTGGACAATTAGCCATTCCGAAGTTGATGATTGGACTGGGGACGAGTGCTAAAAAGTGCCCAAATTAAGAAATGAACCAAATCACTAAAAAGATCACCTCAAAATTAGTAAGTATACAAAGTTTGAAGACGTTTACATGAATACCCTTCGAATAATAAGCTTTCGAAAATTGTGAAATTACTGATTAAAAGATTGTTTTTGGGACGCGCGTCCCTAAAAACAAAAAATACAATACATTTCATATCACGATTTTCGAAAGCTTATTATTCGAAGGCTATTCATGTAAATGTCTTCAAACTTTGTATACTTACTAATTTTGAGGTGGTCGGCTTTAGTGAATTGGTTCATTTCTTAATTTGGGAACTTTTTAACACTCGTCCCCAGTCCACTCATCAAGTTCGGAATGGCTAATACACTGTCAACTTACAATCTCGTGTGTTCGCAAACAGTGTGTTCCCTGAGACTTGTGTGGTAATCTTTTAACAATCAATGGTCTTCATTTGCATGTACGCAAGTTAGTGTCAACATTATGAATTGTAGTTATTGAGGGTAATTTACTTTGAAGGGCGTAGATTAAAAAAAGGAAATCCTATAAAGACTGCTGTTTCCTGTTTTTCATCTGAAATTTTTGTTTTGTGAAAAATAAAAAAATAATTGGCTTTTCCACTTAGGCGCTTCTAGCACAGTGAACGTGCATGTGCCCCGCCCGTTTAACCTTGTTATATTTTCCGTATACTTCCGAAACATTCATTGGCCGTTTGTCAATCTGGCAGTGTGGCAATCAATGCTAAGGATTTCACATAATGCATGCTCATATATAGCTTAATCCAGGAAAAAGAATCCGTATTAAAAGCCTGCTTTGGTACATTTCATTTTGTGTAATGGAAAAACCAGTATATTAATTACATACCAACTTTTCCGAAGAGTGCATGTTCTGTTGCCTGGCAAAACGTGTGACGTTCTTTGTTTTATCGCTTGGCAAAACGTGACGTTCTTTATATTATACGCACAAACAGAATATCTATATTCAATAAGAGATTGTCCCATACACAAAAGGATTGCATCATAAGATAAAAAATACAATACAATCCGAAGATTAACATCTTAAAACCAAGACGAGAATGAGTTCGACTTGTTCTCGAACGAACTCATTGTCGACGAACCCATTTTTGTCAACTGTTTCTGTGATTACAGTAGGAATTTTGCATAGGTAAATTCTAAGTTCTGCACGAAGGAATTGTAAAGGCTGATTTCCACTGTTGCGTTTTTCATACGTACGTATACGCACGTAAAACTTCAAATCCGTTTAAATGTTACTTATGAAATAACCAAATAAATAAAGCAAAATAATTTAGTGTTCCGCAAGTTTTAGTATGCATTTGTTAACTTATTTGTAAAATATTTAAAAAATAGAAGAATTCAAAGTTTTACGTGCGTGCGTGTACGTGCGTACGAAAAACGCAACAGTGGAAATTAGCCTTAAGAAATGTTCGAGGAACTGACTCCGCAGTGTTTAACACTGATTCAGTTCTCTTAAACATTTCTATGCAAAATTTCTACAGCGAGTCGCGACGTCAGTAAGTGCCATATTGGTGCCTAATGGTCCAGCAAGGCGGAGACCTTTAATTTCATCTTTTCATTTCACCTTTTATTTTGTTGTCGTTATTCAATATTTTATCTCAACGTGTCGATGGGCTCGTGTCGTGTTTTTGTGGAGGCACAGAGGCACACTGAGCCATTGTCTCTTCGTATAAAAGTGTATACTATGTTGAAAAACTTTAATCCCTTTTCACAAGTTTTTAAAAATATTTCCTCGTCGAATTGTTTTTTATTCAATCTATCGTCTCTCTCCATGTCCCTGGGCCCACCTTGTGCATGTGTTTGTGAAAGCTCACTGGCCCATTGTGTTTGTGTACAAATCAAGGTAAAAATCGTGTGGGGGGAACAATGCTGCAGAAATCTAATTCCTTTTACAAGTTTTAATTTCCTTTTCACCAAAAGAAAGACTAAACATTACGATAACGTTGGTTTGTTAATTAAAACGTTAAATTTGTTTACGCCAGTATGTGAAGACGCCCATGTTGAACCATGGGCTCTGCTGGTGTTTATGTGTTTATAAGAACTATATATGGTGCTTATTAATATTAAGTATTTCAACAAGCAATTATAAGAAGCGAATGTTACACAACCCTTTATAGCATATATTAAAGATAATATAGTAAATTCACTGATTAATCAGTGCCTTTTACTGGTCAATTTTCATTATTCATCTTCAAATGTGATTTGTCAACAATCGTCAGAGCGAGCACCTGTGACATGACACGCCTCTGACATGATACTTCTGTGGACAGAGTCGATCAACGCTCTGTCGAAAGTCGTGAGTTTTCTCCGGTGTCAAGCGAAATTCCTGACCTCTGCTAAATACCTGACCTAGCGTGACGGGTCAGAAATTTCGCGCGTACAGGCGCGAAATACATGACGCTTGCTAAATTCTAAGTCGGCCAAAACTGTTTTTTAGAGTTTAGATAAAATAATCATGATGTTAATTTCTAATACTTCGTTAAATATTTCAAATCGACATCGCTAAGTTTCAATCACAAACACTTTAAATTTCACAGCGAATTGTGTGGTCGTGACCGCGAAATACACGACGTTTGCTAAATACGGTCGGTCGAAACGATTTTTAAGTCCATATGCGATGTTACCAAATGGCAAATGTTTCTAGCATAAACATCGCCAAATCTAAACGGCCAACTCATGAACTTCGAACTCATCGTTGCTGCTTACTAAATAGTGAGAAGGTCAAACGCGAAACGATTTTTAGTGCTTATAGTATAGTAATGCATATACGGCATAACCTTTGAAACTGGAGTCTATTTTATATCACTAAGATCGCTTTTCGAGTGATATTTCCATATCTACGATTCAAGGTTTATTATAACGTTCACAATCAGTGGTATAGTGTCAATTCAGTTGATCAATTGTAGAATTAATGTTGGAAAATTTATGTATAAATAAAATGGCTTTATAAATACACGTGTTGTCTGTTCAGTTGCGAAATTTATGAGCCAAAGTCATTCATGCGCATCGTCTGCGCATGGGCAGTTCTACAATAGTCAGATATTTCGCAAGTCAGGAATTTCGCGTCACACCGGG